TCCCGCCCACTGGGGTCCGGGCGCCCCCCCTCCGCCCGGGGGCCCGATCGCCTGTTGCCCCCTGCCTGGGGCCCGGTGCCTGCTGTTCCGCCCGAGGGCCCGGTGCCTGCTGCTCCGCCCGGGGGCCCAGTGCCTGCGGCTCCGCCTGGTGGCCCGGTGCCTGCTGCTCCGCCTGGGGGCCCGGTGCCTGCTGCTTACCGCCTGGTGGCCCGCTGCCTGCTGCTTCGCCTGGTAATCCGATGTGCCTCTGCCCAGAGTCCAGCCCGATGTGCCTCTGCCCGGAGTCCGCCCCGATGTGCCTCCGCCCGGAGTCCGGCCCGATGTGCCTCCGCCCGGAGTCCGGCCCGATGTGCCTCCGCCCGGAGTCCGGCCCGATGTGCCTCCGCCCGGAGTCCGGCCCGATGTGCCTCCGCCCGGAGTCCGGCCCGATGTGCCTCCGCCCGGTGTGCCTCTGCCCGATGTGCCTCCGCCCGATGTGCCTCCGCCCGGTGTGCCTCTGCCCGATGTGCCTCTGCCCGGTGTGCCTCTGCCCGGTGTGCCTCTGCCCGATGTGCCTCTGCCCGGAGTCCTGCCCGATGTGCCTCTGCCCGGAGTCCTGCCCGATGTGCCTCTGCCCGGAGTCCTGCCCGGTGTGCCAGTCTTTGATATCCCGCCAGTTACCAGACCCGGGCGGTGGAACATTTTGCCCAGCTAGGACTGTTTGGAGCGTCCTGAGGCCGCTCCTTGAGGGGGGGGGGTACTGTCAGGAATGGACTGGCCAGCAATAGTGGGACTCAGCTGCCTTATGAGCTGCAGTACCAGGGCTGGCCAGCGGGTGCTCCCAGCAATCAGAGACTCAACCTTGCAGCCAGTCAAACACCTGGAACTAATTATACTGGTGTATTTAAGGGACATTCAGACCTGCAGACTCTGCCTTGGTGTTGTGTTTTTCCTGGGCCCTGTATCTTGTTCCTGCATCCTGTTCCTGTTCCTGTCCCTGTCCCTGTTCCTGTCTTGTTGCTGACCCGGCTTGATTCTGACCTCTGCTGATTTCTCCTGTTCTGATCCCTGGCTTGTGACCCCGACCATTCTCTGCCTGACCCCCTGTACCTACCTGCCTGTTAGTTGCTGTACCCTGCTCGTGACCTGACTATTCTCTGCTTACTCCCCCTGTACCTACCTGCCCGATTGATATTGACCCGGCCTGCCTGACGACGCTTGCACTGTATGTACTGTTATCTGTGGGTGGTTGGTTTGGTTTGTTTGCACTGTGTTATGTTTTAGTATTGCACTGCGTTTATGTTTGTATTGTTAGTGTTAATAAATTGTTTATAACTTATCTGAAGTCTGCGTTTCCCTGCGCGTCAGTCACACACCTCTGGTCATACCCGGGAGCCCTGACAATAGGTATATGGACCCTTAATACCCAAAACCCAAGCGGTAGAGATGGAGGAGAGCTTACCGATAATTGTGTAGTGTTCAGGGGCGGACTGACCATTTGAGCACTCGGGCACCGCCCGAGGGCCCAGGGGTCAGTAGGGGGCCCCATGAAATGCCCCTAGTACCTTTTTATAGGTTTTTCGGGTGTGCTTTGAGTTTGGGCAAGGACACAGGGGCCCCATGATCCCCTATTGCCCAGGGGCCCCATGAGTTGTCAGTCCGCCCCTGGCTAGTGCTCCCCAACGTACGCGAGGGGCAACCTTCCAACGATCGGAAAACCATCTGCACCAGCCCATTGAAGCGGGGATTATCAAAAAATTCAGGGATAAATTCCAGATATGGGTAGGCAATGGTTGAACACGTCCACAGGGGCAAGCCAGGGATCCAAGATGGCACCAGGCGCCAAACCCACGCTGTAACAACATGGAACTGCCCCCCCCCGGTATGCCAGTGCGTGGGGTCACCCCGCCTGTAGTGCGGAGTGACGTCACGCATCGGCTGGCCACCGACACGCCGAGAATACAGCACGGGTGCAGGGGAAAAGGCATAAGCCAATACCCTGCTTTGCGACCACGCAAAGTTGCACCCATCAGGCCGAGCGACTGAAGCAGAGGGACTGCACTCCCGGGTTCGAGACCAGCCCAGCCCCCCAAGCCACCCATGGATGCATATGTGTGGTCAGTGGGTGTTAAGACCCGCCCTCCTCACCGTCACACATGTATCATGGACAGCAAGAGGTTAAAACCCAAATGAACTTTCATTTTCAACCAGCGAAATACATCGAAACTGTAACATGTAAAGTCTTCTAGTTGGTTTTGTTTAGATCGGGGGGTCTCCAGACTTTCTGAATAAAGGGCCAGATTACTGTCCTTCACACTAAAGGGGGACCGGACTGTGACCAATGGGAGTAAAAGTTATTTTGACATCAGTGGGATAAACAGTGTGCCATTGTTGGTGTCAGTGTGAGGATTGTGACCCATCATCGGAGTCATTGGGCCCCATTGTTGGTGTCATTGGGAAGAATTGTACCCCATCTTTGGTGTCATTAGGAGGATTTGTGTCCCATCATTGGTGTCAGTGGGAGGAATAGTGCCCCATCATTGGTGTCAGTGGGAGGAATAGTGCCCCATCATTGGTGTCAGTGGGAGGAATTGTGTCCCATCATTGGTGTCAGTGGGAGGAATAGTGCCCCATCATTGGTGTCAGTGGGAGGAATAGTGCCCCATCATTGGTATCAGTGGGAGGAATAGTGCCCCATCATTGGTGTCAGTGGGAGGAATGGTGCCCCATCATTGGTGTCAGTGGGAGGAATTGTGTCCCATCATTGGTATCAGTGGGAGGAATAGTGCCCCTTCATTGGTGTCAGTGGGAGGAATAGTGCCCCATTGGTGTCATTTGGAGGAATTGTGCCCCCTTGTTGGTGTCAGTGGGGGGAATTGTGCCCCATTATTGGTGTCAGTGGGAGGAATAGTGCCCCATCATTGGTGTCAGTGGGAGGAATAGTGCCCCATTATTGGTGTCACTGGGAGGAATTCTGCCCCTTCATTGGTGTCAGCGGGAGGAATAGTGTCCCATCATTGGTGTCAGCGGGGGGAATTGTGCCCCATTATTGATGTCATTGGGAGGAATTCTGCCCCTTCATTGGTGTCAGCGGGGGGAATAGTGCCCCATCATTGGTGTCAGTGGGAGGAATAGTGCCCCATCATTGGTGTCAGTGGGAGGAATAGTGCCCCATCATTGGTGTCAGTGGGAGGAATAGTGCCCCATCATTGGTGTCAGTGGGAGGAATAGTGCCCCATCATTGGTATCAGTGGCAGGAATAGTGTCCCATCATTGGTATCAGTGGGAGGAATAGTGCCCCACCATTGGTGTCAGTGGGAGGAATAGTGCTTCATCATTGGTATCAGTGGGAGGAATAGTGCCCCATCATTGGTATCAGTGGGAGGAATAGTGCCCCATCATTGGTATCAGTGGGAGGAATAGTGCCCCATCATTGGTGTCAGTAGGAGGAATAGTGCCCCATTATTGGTGTCAGTGGGAGGAATAGTGCCCCATCATTGGTATCACTGGGAGGAATAGTGCTCCATCATTGGTGTCAGTGGGAGGAATAGTGTCCGATCATTGGTGTCAGTGGGAGGAATAGTGTCCCATCATTGGTGTCAGTGGGAGGAATAGTGCCCCATCATTGGTGTCAGTGGGAGGAATAGTGCCCCATTATTGGTGTCACTGGGAGGAATAGTGCCCCATCATTGGTATCAGTAGAAGGAATAGTGCCCCATCATTGGTGTCAGTGGGAGGAATAGTGCCCCATTATTGGTGTCACTGGGAGGAATTCTGCCCCTTCATTGGTGTCAGCGGGAGGAATAGTGTCCCATCATTGGTGTCAGTGGGGGGAATTGTGCCCCATTATTGATGTCATTGGGAGGAATTCTGCCCCTTCATTGGTGTCAGCGGGGGGAATTGTGCCCCATCTTTGGTGTCATTGGGAGGAATTCTGCCCCATTATTGGTGTCATTGGGAGGAATTCTGCCCATTCATTGGTCTCAGTGGGGGGAATTGTGCCCCATCTTTGGTGTCATTGGGAGGAATTGTGCCCCATTATTGGTGTCATTGGGAGGAATTCTGCCCATTCATTGGTCTCAGTGGGGGGAATTGTGCCCCATCATTGGTGTCATTGGGAGGAATTGTGCCCCTTCATTGGTCTCAGTGGGGGGAATAGTGCCCCATCTTTGGTGTCAGTGGGGGGAATTGTGCCCCATTGTTGGTGTCGGTGAATAAAAACAGTGCCCCAAGGTCCAGATAAAAGAGAGGCAAAGGGCCACATCTTAGTTTGGAGACTACTGCTTTAGAAAGCAGCCACAGCCTGAGGAGGAAAGCCCGTCCCCTTGCCAGCAGGTTGCAGAGGAAAACCCTTGCTCTCTGCGTGGAAGCAGCGGTCTCTCTGTAGAGATCCGACCTGCTGAGTCAGACCTATAGCTCGGCAAAAGTACTTGCTCCGTAAAAACGTTGAATCTCACTTGTTGATGTGACTATCACAGACAGTTCTTTCTTCAGATGATTTTGTTTTGTTCCCCCCCCTCCTGGAAATCCCATGGAATGACTCCACCTCTGCTCACCAGGTGACTCCCTCTTCTTCCAGATCTCTGGATCTCTTCTCCACCTGGTCCGATGAAAGCCTGGAGATGCTGGCCGACCACTGCAAGGCGGAGGAGTGCCACCACAGCCAGGTCATCGTGGAGGACACTCACGAGACCAAGAACATTCTCTTTGTTACAAAGGTGAGAACTTCCCTCTGAAAACTCCATCGACTCGCATGGTCCCAGGGGGGTGCTATAAAAAAAAAAATGATTTTCCATTATTGTATAGAATTCTTTTTTTTATTATACTTTTTATTTTTTTTTTAACTTTATTGCTATCACAAGCAGCTAATAAGCCCCCTAGGTGATAGCATGGGCAGGTGACAGGTCCTCTTTCTGGAGATATAATAAAATAAACACTGCTTCCAGAGTCATTTGTTGCGGGAGGGATCGGGGAGCGGAAGTTCTGAAAGTTCTTCTGGAGAGAAGCGCAGATGAAGGCATTGCCCCGCGCCGCGCCCATCATGGGACACATTTGTCTGGTGTTAGGGTCACTTTAGGGCTCCGAAAGGCAAGAAAGGTTGTCCCAGTCAGTGCCGGGCCAAAGACAACCGGTAGTCGCGGCAAAGTTGGGAAATTGCACCCCTCCCGCCTATTGTACACATCCTCACCTCTGCCCCCCGCTAGGGTAAGAAAGGGGAGGTGGCAATAGTGGTGAGCACCCACATCGCTTGGAATGGTTCTGGTATGGAATACCGATGAAAGGGTTCAAATTGGTGGAGGAATATGAAGCTGGGTAGTGTCACTGGAAGGAAAAAAAATGTCCCTGTGCCGGTGGGGTCACTAGAAGACTCACCTCTGCAAAGCTTCTCCACCACCCTTATCCACCAGTACAGAGCTCCCCCTCCCCCCCAGTACAGAGCTCCCCTCTCCCCCAGTACAGAGCTCCCCCTCCCCCCCAGTACAGAGCTCCCCCTCCTCCCCAGTACAGAGCTCCCCCTCCCCCCAGTACAGAGCTCCCCCCCAGTACAGAATTTTCCTTCCCCCCCCCAGTAGAGAGCTCCCCCTCCCTCCAGTACAGAGCTCCCCCTCCCCCCCCCAGTACAGAGCTCCCCATCCCCCCCAGTACAGAGCTCTTCCCTCAACCCCAACTCCCCCCTCCCCACTACAAAGCTCACCCTCACCCCCCAGTACAGAACTCCCTCTCCTCCCAGTACAGAGCTCTTCCCTCAATCCCAACTCCCCTCCCCACTACAAAGCTCACCCCCACCCCCCCAGTACAGAACTCCCTCTCTTCCCCCAGGACAAAGCTCTTCCCTCAACCCCAACTCCCCTCCCCACTACAAAGCTCACCCCCCCCCCCCCCCCCAGTACAGAACTCCCTCCCCCCCCCCAGGACAGAGCTCTTCCCTCAACCCCAACTCCCCTCCCCACTACAAAGCTCACCCCCACCCCCCCCAGTACAGAACTCCCCCCCCCCCCCTCAGGACAGAGCTCTTCCCTCAACCCCAACTCCCCTCCCCACTACAAAGCTCACCCCACCCCCCCAGTACAGAACTCCCTCTCTTCCCCCAGAACAGTGCTCTTCCCTCAACCCCAACTCCCCCTCCCCACTACAAAGCTCACCCCCACCCCCCCCCCCCAGTACAGAACTCCCCCCCCCTAGGACAGAGCTCTTCCCTCAACCCCAACTCCCCTCCCCACTACAAAGCTCACCCCCATTCTCCTCCCTCAGCACAGAGCTCTTCCCTCAACCCCCAACTCCCCTCCCCACTACAAAGCTCACCCCCATCCTCCCCCCCCAGTACAGAGCTCCCCCTCCTCCCACCTACCCCCCAGAACAGAGCTCTTCCCTCAACCCCAATTCCCCTCCCCACTACAAAGCTCACCCCCCCAGTACAGAACTCCCTCTACCCCCCAGGACAGAGCTCTTCCCTCAACCCCAACTCCCCTCCCCACTACAAAGCTCACCCCCACCTCCCAGTACAGAACTCCCCCCCCCCCCCCAGGACAGAGCTCTTCCCTCAACCCCAACTCTCCTCCCCACTACAAAGCTCACCCCCCCCATCCTCCCAGTACAGAGATCCTCCCGCCCAACCACCCCCAGCACAAAGCTCTTCCCTCAACCCCAACTCTCCTCCCCACTACAAAGCCCCCCCAGTACAGAGCTCCCCCTCCTCCCGCCTACCCCCCCCCCCCAGCACAGAGCTCTTCCCTCAACCCCAACTCCCCCCTCCCCACTACAAAGCTCACCCTCATCCCCCCCCAGTACAGAGCTCCCCCTCCTCCCGCCTACCCCCCCCCAGCACAGAGCTCTTCCCTCAACCCCAACTCCCCTCCCCACTACAAAGCTCACCCTCATTCCCCCCCCCCCAGTACAGAGCTCCCCCTCCTCCCGCCCACCCCCCCAACTACAAGGCAAATATTTTTTTAAATATATTCTTCAGATTTTTTTTAACATATAAAAAACTAATTTTAACATATATTTGTAGCTGCATTCCAAAAATGTAGATTTGTATTTTTAAGATTAATTTTCATATATTTTGTAATAAAAAAACGCATTTCAGCATTCAGTATATATATATATTTTTATTGAAATATATTGAATACGGCCAAAATTGTAGCATTTCAAATATATGTCAACATATTTGGGAAGAACATTTTTTAAAATATATTTTTCTTCCATATGGGCAGGTCTCTCCCCTGTCGGTAATACTCTGCCCGAGGACCTGGGGTCAGTAGGGGGCCACATTAAATACCCCTGGTACCTTTTATAGGCTTTTCTGGGTGTGCTTTGACTGTGGGCAAGGACACAGGGGCCCCATGATCCCCTATTGCCCGGGGGCCCAGTACATTTTAATGTCCTGGGGCCCCGTGTCTCCATGGACCATTTTCAGCAAAAGGCAAACTTATCCTTTAAGCCCTGATAAAGGGGGACATTGGACCCCCGAAACGCTTTCGTTTCCTCTTCTACCTGTTCTTACAGTGGGATAAATTGCTGATAGGATAGGATTTCTATAGGAATGCCAATAGGACAGTTTTAGGATCCCGGCAGTGGCGTCGAGGCAGGTGCGGCCCACAAGGGGTGACACCGACCACACCGGGTGACACCGACTCGCTCCACAAAAAGGTAAGTTGTAAAGCAAGCAGACGATCCCCGCAGGATGAATCCGATCCATCTTGCGGGGATCCTCGGCTTTTATAACCTACCTTTTCTCGGAGCGGGTCTGGTGTCACCCCGTATTGGTGAATTTGTGCGGCTCCGCCCACCCTTCAGGCTTGTCCCATTGGGGACATCAATGGCCTAAGAGGGGATTTCCTCGCACTTCCTGTTGTGTGACACTGGAAACAGAAACGCACAGGCGACACTTTTATTGTCTCCGGCGCAGGGGCGGACTGACCATTTGGAAACTCGGGCCCTGCCCGAGGGCCTGGGGTTAGTAGGGGGCCCCATGAGATGCCCCTGGTACCTTTTTCATAGGCTTTTTTGAGTTTGGGCAAGGACACAGGGGCCCCATGATCCCCTATTGCCCGGGGGCCCCATGAGTTGTCAGTCCGCCCCTGCTCCGGCGTCATCTTCCTCCGAACTTATTTTGTCATCCAATCAGCTTGCAAGCTAGGTCTTCACCCTGCCCCCATCAAAGGGGCGGGGGCGATGTTGATGCCCTTATATGGGCACGTGACCTCACACAGGGCCCGCTCACACCACTGTGCGGTGCAAGATACGCACTTTTCCCGCACCGCACGGGGTCCGGCTGCCCTCTGTAGATGAGCGCGGGTGCCTTTAATTGTTAACGCCACCCCCACGCACCTGGAAAACACGGGTGCAATCACGCCGCGCCAAACTGCGTGTTAATCCAGCACCGTGTGGTTTTGGTGCGGCGCCATTTTAAGGCCTCATCCACGCCATGTTTTTAGCACTGTTGTTATGCGTCGATGCGGTTCGAGGCAGAAAAAAAATGCGACCAGCGTGGTAGAAAAAAATATTTGATGCGTGGAAACGTGCGCTACTGCGAGGATCGTCGGCATGCAACCTATACGGGGTGACACCGGACCTGCTCCAAGAAAAGGTAAGTTGTAAAGAAAGCCGACGATCCCCGCAGGATGGATGGGATCTGCGGATTGGGGAGGATAATGGATCGGAGTCTGATCCATTACGCTCAATCCGCAGATCCCATCCATCCTGCGGGGATCGTCGGAGGGGGTGTCACCAAGTGTTATCGCACCGGGTGACACCAACCCTAGGGACGCCTCTGGATCCAGGGCTACCCATTCACTTTCCCATAGTTGTCATTTCTGCTGATGCTCACGCCACGCAGTTTGTAGGTCACCTGACCATTCACCGCCATGTCTGTCTGTCTGTCTCTCCTGCCGAAGGGTCGATGTGAAGTTCTTCGTCTGGTGGACCTCAGCCGCTGTCCGTCTTTCCACAAGTGGATCAAGCAGCACGAGACTCTGCTGGGGAGGAACTCTCTGATCCGTCACTCCGGTGCGTATGGGGGTGGGGAGGTGTGCCGTCAAGGACTCCGGGACCGCGGTTGTTTTATCTCATTGTAACCAGAATGACTTTTCTGACCAATCACAAAGCTGCATGTAGGCTACATTGCTTTGTCAGGTGATCCCTGTCGACGCATATGTATGTGTGTGGACCAGGGGCAGACTGACAACTCATGGGGCCCCCGGGCAATGGGGGATCGTGGGGCCCCTGTGTCCTTGCCCAAACTCAAAAAAGCCTATGAAAAAAGGTACCAGGGGCATCTCATGGGGCCCCCTACTGACCCCGGGCCCTCGGGCAGTGTCCGAGTTTCCAAATGGTCAGTCCGCCCCTGGTATGGACGCAGGGCTGTGGATAAGGGGGTACCAGGGGCGGACTGACCATTTGGAAACTCAGTCACTGCCCGAGGTCCCGGGGTCAGTAGGGGGCCCCATGAGATGCCCCTGGTACCTTTTTCATAGGCTTTTTTGAGTTTGGGCAAGGACACAGGGGCCCCATGATCCCCTATTTCCCGGGGACCCCATGAGTTGTCAGTCCGCCCCTGGGGGGTACCGCCAGACCTCCTGTATGGGGCCCAGGCCAGCACTGGGGCCCATGCAGCTGGGTCAATCGAATGTTGACAGGGAGGGTGATCAGATTGGCGGGGGGGGGGGGGCAATTACTGGAACCGATCCCCTGTATGACTCCCTGCAGCAGCTGAAAGCCAGCTTCTTCTCCTCTCCTTCTTGCTGGCTTTCAGCTGCTGCAGCTGGAGCCACACAGGGGACTGGTTCCAGTAATTACCCCCCTGGTGCACCTATCACCCTCCATGTGCGTCATACATTTCCCCCCGCTGCCCAGTCCCCCCACCATTGCACTGCTGCCGGCTTCCCTCCTCTCCTTCCCACAATAGGATCCTTCAGGATGGAGCGTTGGGGAAGGGTCCTCTAAATATGTCACATTTACCAGCCCCTTCCTTTTCTGAATGAACACAGTAACTGACTGGTACCGATCACTCATAGTGTTCATTCATAACTGAAGCATAGTAAACTGTGGAGTTTTTTTTTTTTTTTTTTTTGAGGGGGGCCCTGCCAGGTTGGCTGTATGGGGTTTCTAACAGCAGCCCTGTATGGACGTGTATGTGCTTGGACCCAGACCAAGGAATAAACGAAGCTTCCTGAGGCATTACTCCACTTTTGACGGCTCACATCCCGTATGGCAGGTCAGACCTGGCGTGAATCTGCCGCAGTTTTCTATATGGAGAACTGCCGCGTCCCCTCTGTTAATCAGGTGGGGACCTGCGCTGGTTTCTGTTTCACTCTGAAGTAGAAACTGGAACGGGTGGCAAAATAGAAAACAGTAAATCAATTAGTGAATTCTCACTATAACAACCCCCAAAGAAAAGTCACAATTTCACCCTTGAAAGCAAAATAAATACTCAAACCTTTTCTCTCTGTGAAACCCAACAACCTCTAACCTCTTAAGTAAATATAAATAAATAAAATAAATAAATAAATAAATAAAATTATAATATATAAAACAATATGTAAATAATAAAAAATATATACAAAAGTCCAAAATAAAGTGTCCAAAACATCCAAATATACCGTAGGTAGTCCTCCGAAATATTTAAATTCAGTGTGTCCAACTTATTTCTCCATTCCAAACCACGTAATACCTCGAGAAAAAAATAACTAAAATAGTGTATTACCTTCAAAATTAATTGTATATACCTTGAAACAAAATAAGTATATACTTAAATAGGTGCAAAAAATAAATATAAATATACATAACCAGATTCAACTGTGAGTGACACGTGAATCATGCAATAAAAATCACTCTGTGTACACTCCAATAAACGTGAAAAATTATGTACACTCAAATAAAAAAAAAAATAAAAATAAAGAAATAAAAAAAAATATATATATATATATATATATATAAAAATATTATATTAAATTATATTTAATATTAAATAAATCAATATAACCACATAAAGTGAAACAAATCAATCAGTGAAGTGAACACTCCGTGAGCACCTCTAAACAGTGAGATTAAATACAATTAAATAGAAAACAGTGCAGGTCTGGACCTGATTACCAGAGGCAACGTGGCAGTTTTCCATGCTGAAAACTGCAGCAATCCCCCCCCCCCCCCCCCCCCCCCCCCCCCCCCCCCGGGTTTGACCTGTCATACAAAACGTGAGCTGCCAAATTCGCATCCTTCTCTCTGCTTGTGCAGTGATTACACTACACGAGCAGAGCCTGCGGGGTTATTAACCCTCTTCCTCCCTCCCACTCTGAGCTGGGGAGCGGGAGGTGGGAACATGCCGAGGGAGCATGCAGCTCCAGCTCTCCTGTTCTCTGCGCTGCCTATCACAGGCACGGCCGAACGGGGAACTGATCGCTCATAATTGACATCAGAGTTTGCATCTCTTTTATTACTCGGGAGGAGTATCTGCTCCGTTTTTTATGTTTAGAAGTTTAGAGCAGCGGGTGAAAGCCTGGTGCGTGCAGAACTCCTTCCCCCCATAGCACTAGGAATAGAGGACTCTGGTATGAATATCCCTGAGCACACTTTTGAGTTCCTGCGCACCAGTGATTGCAATGTGCCCAGCGGTTATGTACCTGTGTAAAAAACCAAACAAACAAAAAAAAACATTAAAATCAGATGAAGGTGCTAGTGGTAGATACAGGTGCCAGTGCCACTTCTCTTCCATGGTAAGCATGATTCTACCCACTTTCTGTGAGCCCAGGGTGTCATGGCTCTGCCCCCCCCCCCCCCAGTCTAGATTTATAATGACAGGCTGTAGAGAGCAGCACTATGTCATCCGTGCAGCATTCAGGTTTCACCCACCACCAGAGGAAGAAGAGGGTAAAGAGAGCCTGTGATATCATGACCAGACCTGTGACATCATGACCATATCTATGGTGCCATGGCCAGACCTGTGGCATCATGACCAGAATTGTGGCATCATGGCCAGACCTATGGCTTCATTGCCAAACCTGTGACATCCTGGTTAGACCTGTGGCGTTATGACCAGACCTGAGGTTTAATGGCCAGACCTGAGGCATCATGGCCAGACCTGTGGCATCATGGCCAGACCTGTGGCATCATAATTAGACCTGTGTCATCATGGCCAGACCTGTGGCATCATGGTTAGACCTGTGGCATCATGACCAGACCTGTGGCATCATGGCCAAACCTGTGTCATCATGGGTAGACCTGTGGCGTTGTGACCAGACCTGTGGTGTCATGGCCAACCCTGTAACATCATGACCAGACCTGTGGCATGACAGCTAACCCTGTGGCGTCATGACCAGACCTGCGAAACATTACCAGACCTCTAATGTCATGACCAGACCTGGGATGTCATGACCAGACCTGTGGCATCATGACCAGACCTGTGATGCCATGACCAGACCTGTGGCATCATGACCAGACCTGTGGCATCATGACCAGACCTGTGATGCCATGGTCAGACCTGTGATGCCATGGCCAGACCTGTGATGCCATGACCAGATCTATGGTGTCATGACCAGACCTGTGACTCCATGGCCAGACCTGTGGCATCATGACCAGACTTGTGGTGTCATGACCAGACCTATGAATCTATGACCAGACCTGTGATGCCATAACCAGACCTGAAACTCCATGACCAGACCTGTGATGCCATGGCCAGGCCTGTCACTGCATGACCAGACCTGTGATGCCATGACCAGACCTGTGACTCTATGAGCAGACCTGTGACTCCATGACTAGACCTGTGACTCCATGACCAGACCTGTGACTCCATGACCAGACTGGTGACACCATAACCAGACCTCTGACATCAAGACTAGACCCATGAAGTCATGAACAGACATCTGGAAAAAACTATATTTAAAGATTGGTGGGACTATTCCACTGGGGGGGGGGGGAGAAGTGAATGGATGGAAAAAAATTCCTAAGCCTTGAGTTGGGTTTTATAAACAACCAGCATATGATATTTGCATTGAGCTGTGTGTGGACCACAAATGACTTCCTTGGAGTGGCCGTCAGTGAACCCAGGCCCACACAGTGTTGGGTGGAACAAAAAGCCAAAGAACAATTTATAAATGATGAATGTCACCAATCAGATCACATCTTCATAATGTTCTTTCTTGTTTACGGCAGGAAAGGCCGAATTTAACTCCAGCGTTAATGGCGCCCTCTCCAGCACCATCAAGGAAGCCACAGACATCCTTCCAGAGAGGGGGTGAGTCCGGCGGGCCAGTGACTTCCAATGTCAATGAAAGATTTGTTTTTAGTTATTGGAGGTGCCTTCTTTTTTCCAAATCCTGCTTCATAACAGCTGTATACATCTTCCAGGTTAGGGCCATGCTGGATCTTGACTATTGCACCAGAGATAGGCTCGTCCACTCCCCATTACCACCCATGACCGTTCCGTACAAACCCCCCTTTCCCCTTAACCAATTATACTTACAAAACACATGACACCAATTTTGGAGTAAATGGCCAACATGGCCTTTTATTACAACACAAATTTTAAATACACCAACCATTCCTTATAACAAAAACCCAAAGAATTGTTGTTGGTCTTCGAAGGCACCCCCAAACAATCCGCACCTGCGGACAACCATATTACACAAGGCCTCCAGCCGCAACCAACCAGCTCGGAGACAACCATACCGTCCGCAGTGCAGCACCACCACCTTCCAGTTAAACCTTGGTTAACTGGGAATGTCCCCGGGCACACCATACCACCGATGGGTCCCACACCATTGTTTTTTACCTTCCAAGATAAGAACCGCCTCCAAAGACCAACAACCGCCCAGGAACCAACATAATCCCCCTTTACCTGGAGGGACCCAATACTCACCAAAAACAGGGAGGGCGGGAGGGAAGCTCACACTCCTGACTTCAAGCTCAACTGACGCCCCCCCCCATCACTGAAACCGCCCACCCTAAGGTGCAGGAAACCCCACCTACTCTCAACCTTCCACCAACCAAATACCCCCACTATCAAAACAAACCCCTTGGATCTGCCTTAACCCTTTCTGTTCCTCCTTCCCCACTCTGGGCCTAGTCATGTATGCCCTGCGCCATTTCTTCTTTCTTTTTTGCTACGGGCATTTCTCTACTATAGCAGTTTCCTTAGGATATTGACACAGTCTGTCAGGTTTGTCATAGGCAGGGGCGGACTGACAACTCATGGGGCCCCGGGGCAATAGGGGATCATGGGGCCCCTGTGTCTTTGCCCAAACTCAAAAAAGCCTATGAAAAAGGTACCAGGGGCATATCATGGGGCCCCCTACTGACCCCCGGGCCCTCAGGCAGTGCCCGAGTTTCCAATTGGTCAGTCTGCCCCTGGTCATAGGGTTTCCGAACTATGGTCAAATCTGGCCAAATCTGTCCCGCTGCAAGATTTTATCTGGCCTGTGCTCTAAGAGGGTCTGATTAGGACTCACATGTAAGGTGGACTCCGATGCAAGGGGGACTTTGATTTATGGGGGCTCTGAAGGGGTTCTGATATATGTAGGTTTCAAGTTTATGTGAAATTTCTTTGCTTTGTTTATTGGGTAGTGTGTACTCGGTCGAAGATCTGGCCAGGAGATACGGTCTTCCAGTGTCCTATGCTGAAGACCCCGGGAACCTGAACTTGCCAAAAGAGCTGATGGCAGCCGTCTACCTACGTATTGACTCTTTACAGCCTGGACAATACTTTGTGAGTCTCCCAGTGATCCCCTTTTGGATTCTGAGGGTGCCTGAAGGCCGGGCGTATTTGATCATGCTGTGTTAGGGCCACCTGAATGACGACCTGGTGTACAAGCTCTACCCCTTGTATCATGTTATCACTGGGATGAGTTTCTGGCTTCACTGCCGTATTTACGAATCACAAAGCTTTGCCCGAAAAGTTTGTAGGTTCTTTCCTAGAATTAGGGAACAAACTATAATGCATTACATAGCTACTTCCCTGGTCAGCTGAGTCACAAGAGCCAATAATTTGAAGGAATGGAGAGCCCAGCCTCCTTCCTATAAAAGGGTGGTCTGGCAGCAGCCATTGGCCTCAGATGGGTTGGGAACCTCAAGAAAGATTCATGAAAGTGATTTCAAACCCAACCGAGGCAGCTATATTTGACTTTTTCTTGACTTCTCCCAATATCACTTGACCCGTCCTCCTTCCCCTGCAGTCCTCTGGCTGAATTTAGCCACAAATGCCCAAAGATGGCCAAATGGCAGAAAAAAATGGGCAAAATGTTATTGGTGTTTACATTTTGAGGCTGGCCCTTTAAGCCTCAAAAATGCATTACATAGCTATTTTCCTGGTCAGCTGAGTCACAAGAGCCAATAATTTGAAGGAATGGAGAGCCCAGCCTCCTTCCTATAAAAGGGTGGCCTGGCAGCAGCCATTGACCTCAGATGGGTTGGGAACCTCAAGAACGATTCATGAAAGTGCTTTCAAACCCAACCGAGGCAGCTATATTTGACTTTTTCTTGACTTCTCCCAATATCACTTGCCCCGTCCTCCTTCCCCTACAGTCCTCTGGCTGAATTTAGCCACAAATGTCCAAAGATGGCCAAATGGCAGAAAAAAATGGGCAAAATGTTATTGGTGTTTACATTTTGAGGCTGGCCCTTTAAGCCTCAAAGTGCATTACATAGCTATTTCCCTGGTCAGCTGAGTCACAAGAGCCAATAATTTGAAGGAATGGAGAGCCCAGCCTCCTTCCTATAAAAGGGTGGTCTGGCAGCAGCCATTGACCTCAGATGGGTTGGGAACCTCAAGAAAGATTCATGAAAGTGCTTACAAACCCAACCGAGGCAGCTATATTTGACTTTTTCTTGACTTCTCCCAATATCACTTGACCCGTCCTCCTTCCCCTACAGTCCTCTGGCTGAATTTAGCCACAAATGTCCAAAGATGGCCAAATGGCAGAAAAAAAATGGCCAAAATGTTATTGGTGTTTACATTTTGAGGCTGAGGCTGGCCCTTTAAGCCTGCCGCCCTAGGCCCTGCCATTACCGTACATTCAGTCCCGCCTGGAGGTTATCCACGATGGGTGGAGACCCACTTTTCTTCTATGGGGGTCCCCTGAGCTCTATGCCTGCACTGAGCTGTGTGGGTTCCTATGGTCCACATGTCATGCCAGGTACATGTATTATCTGTCCACCACCAATGGAGAGGATTGTCCATGAATCAGTCATTACTGTCTATAAATGTCTGTCATAAACTGTCTGATAATTGTTATCTGTTCCCCTCCCCCACAGAGAGGAGTGGATGTGGATTATATAGAGTCATGCTTCGAGAAGGAGGGACTCTTATCACTTGATCAGGTATTTCCTTATATAATATTATAACGAAAATTGTTTTACCACGTTAAAGCATTTCTAAAGGCAATTTTTCTGTTAAATTCAAATAATAAACATACTTACAAGCTCTGTGCAATGGTATTGCACAGAGCAGCCTTGTACCTCCTTTTCTGGGGTCCCCCGCCGGTGCTCCTGGCTCCTCCTCTTCTGTGTCTGCCCCCATAGCAAGCTAATTGCTATGAGGGAAGACACATGGGCTCACTTCCGAACCAGGCTGTGTGTGAGTCTACAGACACACACACAGCTAGACTCGGCCCTGCCCCCCAATCCCTCCTCAGAGGATTGGATTGACAGCAGCAGGAGCCAATAGCTCCCGTTGCTGCCTCAGTTGCTGTGAGTAGAGGGCGAGAGGAGAGAAGAGATGCAGCCGGGCACAATTGAGGTAATTTTTTAGAGCAACACAGTAGCTAAAGGGTTAGCACTTCAACCTGGCAGTACTCGGGTCGTTGGTTCAAATCCCAACCACGGCACCACCTGCCTGGAGATTGCGTGCTCTCCCTGTACCTGTGTAGGTTTCCTCCAGGTACTCCAGTTTCTTCCTATTCTCCAAAGACATGCTGGTAAGTTAATTGCCTCCTGTCTAAATTGGCCCTAATATGTGTATGTATGAATGTGAGTTAGGGACCTTAGATTGTACGCTCCTCAGGGGCGGGGACTGATGTAAGGCGCTGTGTAAATTGATGGCGCTATACAAGTACCTTTAATAAAATAAATAATTTTTTAAGGAGATGGGGGAGCATGGTGACCGCATAGTCCTGGAACCAACACTACACAGCAGAACCATCAGAATGGGATCAGTGGAGCTTCTCCCCTTGTTTTCAAGGGGTCGAATATACAGTGAGGAGCATTCTTCCCACTGACCCCCAATGTAAGGGGCATTCTTCCCACTGACCCCCAATGTAAAGGACGTTCTTTCCCACTGACCCCCAATGTAAGGGACATTCTTCCCACTGATCACCAATGTAAGGGACATTCTTCCCACTGATCACCAATGATTCTTCCCACCCAATGTAAGGGACATTCTTCCCACTGACCCCCAATGTAAGGGACATTCTTCCCCACTGGGACCCCCAATGTAAGGGACATTTCTTCCCACTGATCCCCAATGTAAGGGACATTCTTCCCACTGACCCCCAATGTAAGGAGCATACATTTCCCACTGACCTCCAATGTAAGGGACATTCTTCCCACTGACCCCCAATGTAAGGGACATTCTTCCCACTGACCCCCAATGTAAGGTGTACTGACCCCCAAGGGACATTCTTCCCACTGACCTCCAATGTAAGGGACATTCTTCCCACTGACCTCCAATGTAAGGAGCATTCTTCCCACTGACCCCCAATGTAAGGGACATTCTAAGGGGACTTCTTCCCACTGACCCCCAATGTAAGGGACATTCTCTTCCCACGACCCCCAATGTAAGGAGCATTCTTCCCACTGACCCCCAATGTAAGGGACATTCTTCCCACTGACCCCCAATGTAAGGGACATTCTTCCCACTGACCCCCAATGTAAGGGACATTCTTCCCATTCTTCCCAATGTGAGGGACCTTCCCAATGTAAGGGACATTTCTTCCCACTGACCCCCAATGTGGGACATTCTTCCCAAGACCACCAATGTAAGGGACATTCTTCCCACTGACCCCCAATGTAAGGGACATTCTTCCCACTGACCCCCAATGTAAGGGACATTCTTCCCACTGACCCCCAATGTAAGGGACATTCTTCCCACTGACCCAATGTAAGGGACATTCCCCACTGACCCCCCAATGTAAGGAACATTCATTCTTCCCACTGACCCCCCAATGTAAGGGACATTCTTCCCACTGACCCCCAATGTAAGGGACATTCTTCCCACTGACCCCCAATGTAAGGGACATTCTTCCCACTGACCCCCAATGTAAGGGACATTCTTCCCACTGACCCCCAATGTAAGGGACATTCTTCCCACTGACCCCCAATGTAAGGGACATTCTTCCCACTGACCCCCAATGTAAGGGACATTTCTTCCCACTGACCCCCAATGTAAGGGACATTCTTCCCACTGACCCCCCAATGTAAGGGACATTCTTCCCACTGACCCCCAATGTAAGGGACATTCTTCCCACTGACCCCCAATGTAAGGGACATTCTCCCACAACCCCCAATGTAAGGGACATTCTTCCCACTGACCCCAATGTAAGGGACATTCTTCCCACTGACCCCCAATGTAAGGGACATTCTTCCCACTGACCCCCAATGTAAGGGACATTCTTCTTTGACCCACTGATTCTTCCCACCCAATGTAAGGGACATTCTTCCCACTGACCCCCAATGTAAGGGACATTCTTCCCACTGACCCCCAATGTAAGGGACATTCTTCCCACTGACCCCCCATTCTTCCCATTGTAAGGGACATTCTTCCCACTGACCCCCCAATGTAAGGGACATTCTTCCCACTGACCCCCAATGTAAGGGACATTCTTCCCACTGACCACCAATGTAAGGGACATTCTTCCCACTGACCCCCAATGTAAGGGACATTCTTCCCACTGACCCCCAATGTAAGGGACATTCTTCCCACTGACCCCCAATGTAAGGGACATTCTTCCCACTGACCCCCAATGTAAGGGACATTCTTCCCACTGACCCCCAATGTAAGGGACATTCTTCCCACTGACCCCCAATGTAAGGGACATTCTTCCCACTGACCCCCAATGTAAGGGACATTCTTCCCACTGACCCCAATGTAAGGGACATTCTTCCCACTGACCCCCCAATGTAAGGGACATTCTTCCCACTGACCCCCACTGACCCCCAATGTAAGGGACATTCTTCCCACTGACCCCCAATGTAAGGGACATTCTTCCCACTGACCCCCAATGTAAGGGACATTCTTCCCACTGACCCCAATGTAAGGGGACATTCTTCCCACTGACCCCAATGTAAGGGACATTCTTCCCACTGACCCCCAATGTAAGGGACATTCTTCCCACTGACCCCAATGTAAGGGACATTCTTCCCACTGACCACCAATGTAAGGGACATTCTTCTTCCACTGACCCCCAATGTAAGGGACATTCTTCCCACTGACCCCCAATGTAAGGGACATTCTTCCCACTGACCCCAATGTAAGGGACATTCTTCCCACTGACCCCCAATGTAAGGGACATTCTTCCCACTGACCCCAATGTAAGGGACATTCTTCCCACTGACCCCCAATGTAAGGGACATTCTTCCCACTGACCCCAATGTAAGGGACATTCTTCCCACTGACCCCCAATGTAAGGGACATTCTTCCCACTGACCCCCAATGTAAGGGACATTCTTCCCACTGACCCCAATGTAAGGGACATTCTTCCCACTGACCCCCAATGTAAGGGACATTCTTCCCACTGACCCCCAATGTAAGGGACATTCTTCCCACTGACCCCCAATGTAAGGGACATTCTTCCCACTGACCCCCAATGTAAGGGACATTCTTCCCACTGACCCCCAATGTAAGGGACATTCTTCCCACTGACCCCCAATGTAAGGACATTCTTCCCACTGACCCCCAATGTAAGGGACATTCTTCCCACTGACCACCCAATGTAAGGGACATTCTTCCCACTGACCCCCAATGTAAGGGACATTCTTCCCACTGACCCCCAATGTAAGGGACATTCTTCCCACTGACCCCCAATGTAAGGGACATTCTTCCCACTCACTGACCCCCAATGTAAGGGACATTCATTCCCACTGACCCAATGTAAGGGACATTCTTCCCACAATGACCCCCAATGTAAGGGACATTCTTCCCACTGACCCCCAATGTAAGGGACATTCTTCCCACTGACCCCCAATGTAAGGGACATTCTTCCCACTGACCCCCAATGTAAGGGACATTCTCCCACTGACCCCCAATGTAAGGGACATTCTTCCCACTGATCACCAATGTAAGGGACATTCTTCCCACTGACCCCCAATGTAAGGGACATTCTTCCCACTGACCCCCAATGTAAGGGACATTCTTCCCACTGACCCCCAATGTAAGGGACATTCTTCCCACTGACCCCAATGTAAGGGACATTCTTCCCACTGACCCCCCCCATGTAAGGGACATTCTTCCCACTGACCCCAATGTAAGGGACATTCTTCCCACTGACCACCAATGTAAGGGACATTCTTCCCACTGACCACCAATGTAAGGGACATTCTTCCCACTGATCACCAATGTAAGGGACATTCTTCCCACTGACCCCCAATGTAAGGGACATTCTTCCCACTGACCCCCCAATGTAAGGGACATTCTTCCCACTGACCCCCCAATGTAAGGGACATTCTTCCACTGTAAGGGACATTCTTCCCTGACCAAATGTAAGGGACATTCTTCCCACTGACCCCAATGTAAGGGGCATTCTTCCCACTGACCACCAATGTAAGGGACATTCTTCCCACTGACCCCAATGTAAGGGTCATTCTTCCCACTGACCCCCATGTAAGGGACATTCTTCCCACTGTGACCCACCAATGTAAGGGACATTCTTCCCACTGACCCCCCAATGTAAGGGACATTCTTCCCACTGACCCCCCAATGTAAGGGACATTCTTCCCACTGACCCCCAATGTAAGGGACATTCTTCCCACTGACCCCCCAATGTAAGGGACATTCTTCCCACTGACCCCCAATGTAAGGGACATTCTTCCCACTGACCCCCAATGTAAGGGACATTCTTCCCACTGACCCCAATGTAAGGGACATTCTTCCCACTTCCCACTGACCCCCAAATGTAAGGGACATTCTTCCCACTGACCCCAAATGTAAGGGACATTCTTCCCACTGACCCCCAATGTAAGGGACATTCTTCCCACTGACCCCCAATGTAAGGGACATTCTTCCCACTGACCCCCAATGTAAGGGACATTCTTCCACTGACCCCCAATGTAAGGGACATTCTGACCCCAAGGGACATGATTCCCACCCCCAATGTAAGGGGACATTCTTCCCACTGACCCCCCAATGTAAGGGACATTCTTCCCACTGACCCCCAATGTAAGGGACATTCTTCCCACTGACCACCAATGTAAGGGACATTCTTCCCACTGACCCCAATGTAAGGGACATTCTTCCCACTGACCACCAATGTAAAGGGACATTCATTCTTCCCACTGACCCCCAATGTAAGGGACATTCTTCCCCACTGACCCCCAATGTAAGGGACATTCTTCCCACTGACCCCCCCTAATGTAAGGGACATTCTTCCCACTGGGACATTCCCCCCCAATGTAAGGGACATTCTTCCCACTGACCCCAATGTAAGGGACATTCTTCCCACTGACCACCAATGTAAGGGACATTCTTCCCACTGACTCCCCAATGTAAGGGACATTCTTCCCACTGACCCCCAATGTAAGGGACATTCTTCCCACTGACCCCAATGTAAGGGACATTCTTCCCACTGACCCCCAATGTAAGGGACATTCTTCCCACTGACCACCAATGTAAGGGACATTCTTCCCACTGACCACCAATGTAAGGGACATTCTTCCCACTTGACACTGACCACCAATGTAAGGGACATTCTTCCCACTGACCCCAAATGTAAGGGACATTCTTCCACTGACCCCGCAATGTAAGGGACATTCTTCCCAATGTAAGGGACATTCTTCCCACTGACCCCCAATGTAAGGGACATTCTTCCCACTGACCCCCCAATGTAAGGGACATTCTTCCCACTGACCACCCCCAATGTAAGGGACATTCTTCTTCCCACTGACCCCAATGTAAGGGACATTCTTCCCACTGAACCCCCAATGTAAGGGGACATTCTTCCCACTGACCCCCAATGTAAGGGACATTCTTCCCACTGACCTCCAATGTAAGGGACATTCTTCCCACTGACCCCCAATGTAAGGGACTCTTCCCCACTGACCCCACTGACCAATGTAAGGGGACATTCTTCCCACTGACCCGCCAATGTAGGGACCCCCAATGTAAGGGACATTTTTCCACTGACCCCCAATGTAAGGGACATTCTTCCACTGACCACCAATGTAAGGGGCATTTCTTCCCACTGACCCCCAATGTAAGGGACATTCTTCCCACCCGACCCCCAATGTAAGGGGACATTCTTCCCACTGACCCCCAATGTAAGGGACATTCTTCCCACTGACCACCAATGTAAGGGACATTCTTCCCACTGACCCCCAAATGTAAGGGACATTCTTCCCACTGACCCCAATGTAAGGGACATTCTACTGACCCCCAATGTATAGGGGACTATTCTTCCCACTGACCCCCAATGTAAGGGATGTAAGGGCATTCTTCCCACGACCCCAATGTAAGGGAAAATTCTTCCACTGACCCCCAAATGAAGGGACATTCTTCCCACGACCCCCAATGTAAGGACTTCCCCCATGACCCCAATGTAAGGGACTTTTCCCCCCCTGATCAAAATTTAAGGGACATTTTTTTCCACTGCCCCCCCAATTTAAGGGACATTCTTCCCTGCCCCCCCTTTTTAAAGGGGGACTTTCTTCCCAAACCCAAATTAAGGGCATTCTTCCCACTGACCCCCAAATGTAAGGGCTTCCTTCCCCCTGCCCCCCAAATGAAAGGACTTTTTCCACTGACCCCCAAGGTAAGGGACATTCTTCCCCCTGACCCCAATGAAAGGGACATTTTCCCAGCCCCCCAATGTAAGGACATTTTTCCCCCACTACCCCCAATGTAAGGGACTTTCCTCTTCTGCCCACCAATTAAGGGACATTCTTAAGCCCCCCAATTTAAAGGGGCTTTCCCTCCTGCCCCCCCCAAGAAAGGACATTCCTCTTACTGCCCCCCCAATGTAAGGGGACATCCTTTTACTGACCCCCCCAATGTAAGGGACTTTCCCTCTTACTGCCCCCCCCAATGAAAGGGGACATTCCTCTTACTACCCCCATGAAAACACAATAATGGACGGAGCTTGATAAAAAATCTTTATCGGGGGTTTTCCTTGCGATCTGAAAAGTTTTTAGGGTTTCCATGTTAAAAAGGCGGAAAGTCGGCACAAATGTTCGAAGATACATCATTCCCTTGTACAGAGGATTTACACTTTGAAAATGGAAATAAAAACATTTTTGCCAAAAGAAAATTTTAAGATGCAAATGTTTCTTTACCATGTTCTCTCCCTAAACTGGGGAACAAATGCTGTAAAATGAACGGATGATGAGGGGGTTTTCCCGAGGGGGGGGGGGGCAGGGGGTTTCCAGTACAAACAATATCATCAAACCGTGCGCCCCCCCACCGGTAAGTCCCATCCACTCATTAAATTAGTAGCTTTGGGTTTGCTAATTAAGTCCCGGGGAAAAGTCAGCCCATGTCCCTCCAGGCCATCATCCCAAAAAATGAGGACAAACATAAAGAAAAAGTCTTTGTGACAAAATGAAGATTTGTGAAAACTTTTTCTGCTCAGTCAGCTCTCAGGGTTACATTGTTTTTTTTCCCAAAAAATTCACCCGGAACTATATTGACTTTTCCCAAAAACCCCGAATTCTGCTTCCTGAACCCCCCTGAAATCGTGTTTCCTTGATCCCACTCCAACCTTCGCAAAAACTATGGATGAGTGAACGTTCGGTCTGAAATGAATTGGACTAACATTTTTTGAACGGACATCACTGAAACCTGAATTTTGGGATGTTTGGGGGGGAATTGTTCTACAAAAAAAAGGGGGGGCCAAACTCAGTGGATTGCTGTAGGAAAGTCCTGGGTTCTTTCTTTGGGGTACACAGAATATAAGGTATAACATTATGGGGAAAAGGGGATCCGGG